TTTTTTTTTTTTTTGGTAAAATATTTTTGAAAGTGTAAAAGTTAGTGTTATTTTGCACACTGTAGACTAACAAGAGGCTGTAAGACTAGTCTGTCTTTAGTCACAGTGTGTGTCAGTGGCTTTGTGTAGAGCGAGAAAACGAACTATAGATGAGCTATGATCTTAAATGAATGAATGAGTCAAGTGTGACACATTGGAGCTAGTTTGTAGCCCAGCTGAACTGACAGCATCTAGCGTTAGCTTGCTTTGCATAAGAGGCCACACGTGTTTTATTTTATTTTTTTTTAAAGGGTGTGTGCAGAGGGGGGAAAAAAACCCAATATATCTTTTAAGTAATTGAATGAAAAAGTTCTCCTATCCCGAGCCGAGCGGAGCTTGACTCTCTCCGTTGTTACCTTGTAGCGGAAAGAATGTCGGAAAGGGCCGAGGATGACGTCAGGGGGGAGCAGCGCCGAGCGGCCAGGCAGCAGCTGAAGCAGCAGCAGATCCAGCGGGGAGAAGGCTCCACAGCAATGGCGACTGTTTCGGAGCGGAGATCGTTGCCTAGTCCTGAAATAATGCTGGGACAGCCTTGGAGCAGCTGGGTCGACGCCGCCAAACTCCACGTACACGACGGTGAGTCCCCCAGCGTCCCGAATGTGCGCGAGAAAGCGAGGGAGAGGGCGACAGTTGCTAGTCCTTTCCTTTTTTTTGGCCGATTGCATGCAGTTTTCGGTCGGGTACGAAGAAACGCTACTGGTAGCAACAGCACGGTCAGGCGAGCAAGTGCAACTATTTATCTGTCCCTGTGTCCGATCGCCTTATTTTCAGGTGCTGAATCGGAGGAAAGTTTCAAAGACTTGGGGAAAAATCGAGAAGCCATGCGTTTGTGCAGAGAAGGTGAGTGTTTTTCTTTCGCTCTAGGGCCAAAGGTGTATTTTGGTTCTAAGGGTTTGCTCACACACAGACTCCAAACACAACTGTATGAGTTGGTCAGTCAGAATGGACTGTAGATCAGAAACTAACTGAACAATCGGATGTTTTAGGTGAATCGATGTGTCTTTGTGTTGTATTTCACATCTACATCTGTCCACAAGAACAATAACTAAGAATGAGCAGTTGWGTTTAGGCCCAAACACCAGCATGGTATATTGTTTTTGCTTATTTGAATGAGCTTTATGGTTTAACATGCACATTTATTTACCATATTTACACATAAAATGTTCATGTTTCACTTGCTTCTCCTTCACTAAAAGAAATCTAGAAGCTTGCTGTTTAAACAATTGAAAGGTAGCAACTTTGTAAATATTTGAATGATTTGAAATTTTTTAATGCAATAGCAATATAATATAGTTTGTCATATGTATTATAT